AGTTTAATACATAATAATCATAAAATATAATAGTACAACGAATCTCGTACGCCTTTCAATGTTATCTTTGCTCAAACTGGTTTCGTACGTTCACGTTTTTCGTATTTGTAAACGGTAGGTAGGTATGTATTTTTAAAATTTGTTATCGATTTGTTGTATGGTTATTATCAGTTTATTGACTTCTTTAAAAATTAAAGACAGTTTTTTTAAAAAATACTTCTTAAAAATACAGAAGTGTTTATTTAAAATATGAACGTTTTGTTTGCATGCATGCGCATTTAAGGTACACACTCGCCGTGCTAAATGATATTATATGTAGCGTGGACGTTGTGCGCAATGAGTGTAAAGTGTAATTAATTTCCGAACACACTTTGTGCAAACCATGGACATTCATTTTCGCTACATTATTCGCGTCTGTTAACGTTTTTATAAAAAAAAATACAGCATACGGGAAATGCAAAAACATTTATTTTTTTGACCTATCTCCCACCCCTAGGACGCCCCTCCATTTTCGCTTTATTTATAACGCACGCACAATGCAGTGTTTTGGCGAAACGATATAAAGTGCATTACGTTTTTATCAAATGAACCATGACGTACACGTTCGCAAGTAGTGCAATAAAATCTGTGTGTATGTATAGATATGTTTTGTGTGTAATTTTAATGCGGACGAAAATACGACAATTATCTCGTTATCCGTTCCGGGTTTTGTAATTAAACGTGCCAGCCGAGTGGGAAATGGTATTATTGCAAGTATTACAAACAGTATTGTCATTTCCTAATTTTTAACTAAGATATCAATATTATTATTGATTTAATAATTAATTGAAGTGATGAGAATCAAAAGTACATAGTATGTTTATTAGGAGAATAAAACAACGATTATTTGTGTATTCTTAATTTATAATTGTTACTAAAAAAGAATATAAATTCATGAAACGAAATGTAAAAATACAAAATTAGATTTGTTGGTAAATATTTTACGGTATTAGGTGTCATTTTTCGAATTACTCTTACTTTTACTTAAGTCACTTTCTTCTTTTGGTTCTCATCACATTAGTAATATATTTAAATTATTTTAAAAACAAAATTTTAAATACTATACATTTGTAAGTATTTTATCATAATTTAATTACGTTTATATCCAATTATGTAAATATCCATTACGAGCATTTTTCTTAGTGAGTTTCTTAGTTCAGAATTAATATTGTACACTTGAAATCAAGAAGAAAATTATTAAAAATTAGTATATATTATAGTATTTAGTATTAATATATAATAAGTAATTTCACTAATATCAATAAAATTATTTTTAGTATATTTATCTATTTTTATAGTACAATTTATTTTATGTAAATTGGAGAAACAATTAAATAAATATAACTGACAAAGATTAGTAGTAAGATTGAATAACTGAAACGTAGTATGCATGCACTTTTATTTTAAAAATGTACATTGCCAGTTAAGGTTTTGGTAAAATATAATAGCAGTACAATAGTGAGGGGGTGCACCCACGCAGCAAAAATATAGTATTTTATAACAATAATATAATATTTTTTAATAATATTTTGACAGAAAATCCAATATTAGTAACACAATTGTTTTATTAATATTTTTTAATTCTTAAGTTGATTTATAATTTTAAAGAAATATTTGTCCCAAGGATGATATGGCCCCATGAAATCTCTTTGTTTTATAATTTACTATTCGTTCGAGTTGGGGATATCCTATTATTCTTACATTAAGTTTTCTTAAACTAGAACTCTAGGGAACAATGGCATTTAAAAATTATAATAAATATTTCCCCCTCCCCCTCCTTCTGAGATAAATGCTATATAGGTATTTAGAGAATCGGAAATATTTTGTTTTCTTCTTCTAATCTTAAAAACGTTTGTCTTTATTCAAATTTCAAACTATACCAAGTGCTAAATTCATGAATAGTTTTGAAAAAGAATGCTTATTCAGACGAGTCGATTCCTACTTGAATTTAGCGAGCTATCATGAATATTGTAGCTCCTGGAGGGCATTGTACTCATTATAATGTTTATGAATGACTTACTGTTAATATTTCAACATCCAATTATCTATTTTATTGTAATATTGTGTTGAGTTTAGACTATTTGATATTTCGTCTTATATTTATTTAGAAGCTTAGTTTAATTTATTTCAAAAATATGTTTTCTCAATTGTATAGCTAATATTAGTGATTTAATCATGTAAAATAATGATTCCAAATATAAATCACACACTGCATAATTTTTAGTTGTTTTTTTGCTGTTAAGCTTTTATTTATTGAATATGATAGCTTGACAGTTATTGATAATACAATATGAATTTACATATTTTTGTATGGGAAAAGATAAGTGGTATACACAATTTATATCTTTGTTCCAATGTTAACATTTTTATTCATTACTTATTCGTAGTATATTATTTTGATAGACTAAAGTGATTCTCACCAGTGATGATAGTAATTTGGAATATGATATACCATCATTATTGTTCTTAAAATTTCCTGGTCTTCGCGACACATCAATTAATCGATTTATTCCATTTTGTACGTTTTAATATAATAAGACCTTACCTAATAAATGTAAAAAGGGTTTATTGTTAAGTTTAATTACATTTCAACCTAATAAGTATTTATCTTAATGTATAAACTATAGTGATCAGTAACTAATACAAATTTAATTATAGATACCTACGTTTTTTTGAGATGCTATTATAGGTATTTTTTTAAATGTTTTTCATACTGAAATACTTTATTTAAAGTAATTAACTATACAAAACTGAATTATTGGTTGCTTATTTGCTTAATTTTTTGGACGAGTGTATTATAAAAATGCATTCCCCATGAGTAATTCTAAGCGGTCTAAAAATATCTAACAAGTATTATGTGTTTATAGGAATCGATAAATGTAAGAAAAATTATTATATTCAGGTCATGTATGTTGAAATGTATTGGATAATAGTGTTAAGGGTGTTATATAGTGTTATTTTGTAAATTTATTTGGTTTTATCATATATGTCAATTTTGTTCATAAATTGTTAAAATAACATTTAGTTTTCTGTCGTAAAAAACCAAAAATAACTTGTATGATTCTCAACAAATTACTAATGATAAGAATTATAATAAACAAATTTTTAATAAAAAGTTATTACAAAGTTAATTCTTATATTATATTTTTTTGTTATTACATACTGGCTAAAAATCCAAGGTATAGTATACAATAATATATTTAAAAAAAAACAAATACATTTGAACAAGGAGAACAAGTATAGATAAAAATGTCATAAAGCCCTAATCTAAAAAGAAAAAGGCGGTATCGGTATTTGCAGTGAGAATCATACTTGTATGTCTTGTACGAGGTATAAGGGGTTATTTCCGTAGTTTGTGTGGTAAATACTTAGTCATCGAATACAATTACAAATGTCTGTGCAATTAGTGTTGTACTTCTTTAGGATTATATATGGGACATGCTGAACGAATATACCACTACTACTGTGCACAAATTAACTGAATAACACTTTTTATACAATTTCAAACAAACATAATTTGTTAAAATTAAATTATATTTCTTATTTTCGACGTTCGGCTATAGATTTAATATATTCCAAAAAAAATAGTTTTACGTTAAATAAATGGTTTGAGGAAGTCGTTTGTAATGACAGAATACGTCAATCTATATTGGTATTTACTATTTAGTCTTTTAAAATAAAAATGGTTTACTTTAATTTTATGTTTGATTACGCGACTCAATTCGTCAAACTTTTCAATAATGACTAAGAGTTAACTTTAACGTTGAAGTATTTTTTAATTTTAGATCATGTACAGTTTTGCTATTACAATACAGCAATAAAAACTAAGTCCAATAAGAACAACAGTAATTCAGTAACTACATTTTATGTCTTATACATATTTTATAATATATAACGCATACACAATCAATGTACCTACATATCAAATATAATTAAGAGGGTCAATTATATTTAGCGATGGATGAATTATCAAGGTTCATTAAACAAGTTATATGGTATAATAGGTATAGTATTATAATGACATTGAACTACAATATAACGAGTAGTAATTTTTTCGGCGATTACTTAAAATTCACCAATCAAAAATGTTATAAATTGTAATGCAAATATTATCTGTATCTTGATTAATTTTAGTCTAGCCAATCTCATACTTATTAATTATTAAAATAAGTGTTAAACTTCTCACTTTCCATTGGAACACGTGCGTTTCAATGAATGGAAGCAGGTGTTAGCTTGTTATAGTTAACACGCTAATATAATATTATGATAAGCGGTCCAACTCATATTGGCTAAATCAATTATTATGCTATTTTGGACCTTAACTACAAATTTTATTTGACGGTTAAGATTAGGTGGCTACGATTTATACTAGCAGTGACTTGTGGTTTCCGGTAGATTTTGTGTCAAAATATTATTACACAGAATTAGACAAACTTCGTAGGTTGTAATCAAAAAATCTTTATCGGTTAGAAAATTTGGAGAGAAAATTGAAAACATTTTGTCTGGCAAGAGAGAAAAAACGAGTTGGTCCGCATATTAGCTACCGTACCGGGGTGTCATGTATAGTCTGTGGTTCCTCTTGTCTTATTGTCGGGGTCTCGCCGATTTTGTATCGGCTACGTCTCCCGAGACAATCAATTATTTGACAATTGACCCTGAGCGCAGACAATGCGCGAACATTTACACACACAAACACTTATTCGTAACCGTGCTGAGTTTAATGTTATATGTGTGCATTACAATAATAATGATATATATATATATATATATATATATATCTAGTGGTAACGTTGCGGTGGGGGTGATGAAATTACGAAGTCGAAACGGATGTACACGTGTCTCGCGCGGTGACAGAACAGCGAAAGAAGGGAGGGAAGGACGAAGGGGGCGTTTAAAATAGGAAACACAATAGCTACATTTTGCCTTATGCAAATTTTCGCGATGCAGTTTTTATGCATATATATAATTTATATACACGTTATTTTTTTTTTCACGTACATTGTTTAGATTATTATGCTCTCGTTCTCGGCGCAAAACCAAAATAAAAAATACAAAATCAAGTACACGGACAACGCAGCCGCCGCTGCGATGTATAAAGTAATAATAATAATGAAAATGATGAAAAAAAATATATAATAATAATGACAATAATAATAATATAGAAACGTGTGTGCGTGCATGTTCGCGGACGGCGGCGGCGGTGACGGCCAGCCGGACGGACGGGAAAACACCAGTAACGGTCTGCCGGCTGCCGCGTGAACGTCCCCGACTTAATGTGTGTATGTGTGTGTGTGTGTACCTACGCCGCCGCCGCCGCAGTAACTTGCGCCATCATGAGTGTTCGACGTCCGATACACCACGCATTTAGCTGACGGGCATAGACTAGATTTGTGAATAATTGCGATCAAATCGAATCTCCGTAAACGAAACATACATAACAACACCGTATTTGTATATGTGCATTCGCAAACATATTCCCGGCTCGAAGCTTTTACACAAAGTGGTGTTAGACAATTTTAATTCGTATGTTTCAGGGAATACGATTAGAGTTCGGGAATAAACCGTGGACAAGACGAACGTACAGAAACTTTTAATGCGTTGGAAGATGCGGTATTTGGCGGTTGCCACTCTGGTGTTGGTGACCGCTTACACTGTGCTGGCGGCCGGCGGACGACAACGCGGTCCGGTCGACCGTCAGCAAGCTGCCGTCGCCTCCACCGTCGCCGCCGACAATCTTCCGGAAACGCCGTCCGCGGTTCAATGTTCCAGTTGTTTGGCACACGACCGACTCAAGTCGCTGAGCATCGAGCTCATTAAAGACTCGATATTGAACAAGTTGGGCATGGAGCGGCCGCCGGAGTTTGGTGGTCGGCGGCCGCCCAAGGTTCCCGCCGACCTACCGCCCCTCAAGGATCTCATGCGTGCTTACAACGACCGAGGATCTGTGCTGGTGCGGCCGCACATCCGGCATAAATCGCACCATACCGAAGCGTCCAGCGACGGTGGCGGCGGTACGGACATGCAGAGCGACGAGGCGCCCGGAAACGCCGCTCCACCTACGGCCACGACCGTGCCGGTGACGTTTGTGGATGACGACGACGACGAAGACGACTATCACATGAAGACGCACAAGCTTATCGCCTTCGCGCAACCACGTAAGTACAAGTTCTTTAGCGGTTTTCTGTAAGTCCGACGGCAACACCGATCATAATAATGTTCGAAACGCTAACGATTCACAATTCCCCGGCCCTACTGCAGGTTAAGTGGAAATCAAATCGTAGTCGGTAAATAATTGTTCAGACCAAAGTTATAGTTTTTTTAGGAATGTTTAGAAATTCGAAGAGGGTTCTTCTCTAACAATACATTATAATATTATGAATGGGAATTAAATGTTAGCGCTCCCAACACGTCGATTTGCATTACTCGACGGCGATTTAGATGTAACCTGAAATTTCACAAATTTATGCAAACGCCCCAATTTTAAAACTATCCGTTCAATAGTTTCATTTGTTTGAAAAGTCAATGACTTTAAGCTAAGGGCGGACTACGCACTTTTAAGAAATAATATTTTAATATTATATTACAAAATTTAACGTTTTTGTTTTTTCTACATTATTTGGATTTCGAATGGAAATCGATTATGTGATAATGAATAATTAATACCTCAAGTACAACTAATATTATATATATATATATATATATTATTATAAATAATAAAAGCAGTGGCGTCGTGAGTACTTGTAAACTTATACTGGTGGACGAATTCGCTATTACTTTTAACTCGTTATTTATAAATTATAATTATTTTTACAGAACCTAGTCGATTTGAATACCGCATTCGTTAGCGATTTGTTTCAAACAAACTATAAATGCACATAGATTATGGTTCTATTTATTTGATTTGTATGTGGTTTATCGTTTGCACTCGGAGACGTTTTTTTTATTTTCTCATATATATATGATACGCAAATAATTGTTTTATGAAATAGCAATAATATATTTTTTTCTTTTTCACATAGATTTTAGCAGTAGAGTATAATAATTCAGATTGTCGTTTTGTTGACTCGTATTGTTATCGTTGTCGTTGGAATAATGACAAGAACAATACTTGCTCAAGTGGAATCCTATAATCTGATTAAAATTCGTTTGTACAGAACTTTTCTCGTCATTTAGATAACTATTTAAAAATTTGTTTGTCCAAACTAAAATTAAAAAATAGTCGGCGATAAAAAGCACATCCGTTATGAAACTTATTTCTGAGACGAGGCAGCATAAAGTAATATTTTTTATACAATTTGTACCGATATGAATCGCTAATGTTTATTATTCCGGTTGGGAAATGGGAATAAATTGAGATATTGTTCGATTATATTTTAATCTTGACTGTTATTACAACTATTCTTTAAATATACAACTGATATGTAATACGTATATTTATAGGTTTTATACAGTTTTTATTGTAACTGTACTACTGTTAGACAAAAATCGAGTCTAACAACCCTCGATTTTCCATCTAATGAACACGTGGCAAAACGCGACGTGTCAATATACTCTTAAAGTGAAAATACCATTCTGGTAGCGGCACGAGCATCTCGTTACGGAATGTTATACATCAATCTGACCGCTACCTATGTAGATAATATGCGTGACGAATTCGTGAGTGCGTCTCACCGGTCACAGGAAATCTCTGAACGAATTGCGCATTTGTATTTCGGTGTATAATAATAATACGGCGAACCGGAATAACTATTGGAAATCATTTCAAGCCGTTGTCCGTCGGAACTGTTTAACGGATGTAAAAAAAAATATCGTATTTCGCACGTTCCAAACGAAGCTCTACAATTCGCCGTCTTTTGGTCTATACAACGATTTTTCAGGGTTGCCCGAGTTGGTAATGCACACCTGAAACAAAATATACGTCTACACGTACATTATTGTGAATCCAAAACTGACGTATTACCCGACTATTGTATATTATGTGGCGGTTACATAATGATCGGTATCGGTCTGTGTGGTACCTATATGCGTTATATGCGATGGGAAAGCGGAGGTCAATATTGATCGATCTCTCGCTCGCGGAGTTTAATGCACCCGTCGGCGGTGGCGGCGTTTTGCAAATTTTATATAACACATTACACGTGAATGGACATAACCCCCCCCGCACTAGCTGTTGGTCTCCGGTTCCGACGGCACGCACACACGCAGACACACCAGGCCCAGGTCAATGTATTTTCCCGAGGGTAAGGTTTTCGCCATTCGAACTTCGGTCTATCGGTAGGAGGCTTATAGAAAGGCTTCGGTCCTTTCAATATGGGATGATCATTCACCCTATCCCGGACGTCAGACGAACGGCCAGGTCAGTTTTTCATGACGAAATTTCACCAACACGTTTACCCAATGATCGTATATTTTGTCTCTGTATACATTTCTTTTGTTATCCACTCGAAAGCACTGCGGTTTTTTAACGAAGCCATGATACAACCGGCAAGTTGACTACGTTTAGCTAGCAATCCTGAGCTCTGTTCAGACTTCCATATCTTCTAACGTCTTTTGTTTTTAATGGGTGGGCATTGTGAAGCGATCTTGGATATGCTACCGTAGTTATACAATTGTTTTGGATCTCTACTTTGATGGTTGAATCCACGATATTTTTTTTATTATGCTTTGACAGTTATGCTATTTTGAAAATTTTACATATGAATAAATTATTGTCATTACGGTAGATACTCTGTCACAAAAACAGGTTTTTTTTAAATAATAAAGACTCTTTTTAATCATCCAACAGTATTCGTACATCAGATTTGTCCCGTTTGTTACAAATAAATATACCTACTTAACTTTAAACCACTAAAATTCGATAAGCTGAGTAAATACTTATGAAAATACGTGTCGGCATCGACAATTTTCGAAACAAAATTGCAGTGGTAAACATACTATAGTGGATTGTTTATGTATAATATATATATATATATATATTTGTTTAACGAGCCTGTCTATTTAGATAAGAACATTTGTGCTACTTTGGCGATTGCTTGTATCTTAAGTCATATTTCAAAAAGGCAAAAATTGGTGGTGTTTGTGCACGTCCTCTCGAATTTTTAAATATTTTTCAAAATGTTTTTATTATATGCATAATTATTGATAAAAATATATGTCTAGAGTGTAACTGCAGTATGTGGACAAAATTGTTTTTCAATCACTAACCTAAAACTTAATCTACAATATTAAATTAAAAATAAATATTGTTTTTACCTTAAATTGAATTCAATTAATGAGTTTATCATGCTGAATTGATCTATATAAGTTTTATGATTCTAATAAACTAATTTTTTTCCAAATTTAGAAAATATAAAAACCTTATATCTAATGGGCATAACATAATCTGCCATAACACAAATAGAGTAAAAATGTTTTATATCTGTTTGAAAACAGCTACTGGACACTAAACAAAACAAATCTAAATATCTCACTCAGACATTTTCTTACCATTATAGTTATTATTAAAACAAGATTATGCCTCATTTTTATGAAAAGCTGCTTCGAATCGTTTACTCAAAAGTCTCAATCCAATGTATAGTTCTAGACTACAAATGGACCAAGGGGACATTGGCGCTTTAAAATTAAGATCGACCTAAAGCATTTAGCTTGGCCGGATCTCTCCCATTGTCGATTATACATCATTAGATTAAAAATACTATTTTTTGTATCTCGACAAAGAGCCAAAGACCGTCTAAACACCTAATATAAGCGACAAATCCAAATATTATCCTGGGTATATAAACTTTAACCCAGAACCTTCCTTATATTATGAAAACATAAGCCCTTATTATTGTATGCCATGCGGCAGCTGAGGTGTCCACTGCGCCACACCGCGACCGGGGCGGTCTACCACTTATGACTTGAAATGTATGTGCCCATGTCATTGTGCGCGTCCCAGGTTACTAGACGTGCAAATCACGTACTGCAATAAATGATTCTTAATAATTAAGAAACCATATAGTCGATAACTTGAAAGCGCCATAAGCAACTTGATTTTCAAATATCATACGGTTTTATTAAGACTATCGACCAACTTATTTCGTATTTTGTAGATCGTTTTATTTATGTTCTGTCTTAGCAAAATCATTTGGACTTAATATTTTAAAGATTTATTAATTACAACGGACGCTCTAAGTCTGACCAGTTATTTTTTGCATCGCTTCTATTTTTAATAATTAAAATTATTCTACAAAAACGAAGGTACATATTACGAGAACCCATTGGTAAACCGCAAGATTACTAAATGGCTGAAAATGTAATAGCCGACGAAAATACCATAATAATAATAATTACACAATCATACTCGTTTATTCTAGTAAAAAAAAGATACAACCCTTATTAATAAAATATCGGCGAGCTGCCCAATTCATGGGTTATTACGAGGATACAGCCTATAATAATATAAACACAATGGTAAAAATCACAATACCTCCAATAATTACAATAATAAGAAAAAAAATCTATCAGTTGTTAATCACAAACATTTTAAAATTCAATAAAAATAAAACAAACTATTAATAATAATAATAATAGTAAAATAAATAAGTCAATAAATAAATACATAAAAAAATATAGGTAATCTAAATAAGAATTTAATATAAGTTTATTTAATTTAATATAGAATTTAATTTAATTTTATATACAATTATTGTAAATTCTTTTAAATTGCATTAAGAGTCCTCTACATCTGCGTATTTTTTAACGGAAAAAACTCATTCAGTTTTAACAGTTCTTTGAAACGCGTGATCTGAAAATAGTTTTGATAACAAATTTAGATTTATCAAAACTTGTTCGATGTATCAATCAAAGCACATTTTTTATTTTATTTTATAATGCTATTGTAAAAACCATTAAAAATCTTTAAAAATTGCAATTTTTTACTTATAAATTATTAATTAATTAATTAAAAATAATTTTAGAATTGTGCCACAATCGATATTCGATACCTTGTTAATTTCATGAAGAATCTAAACGTTTTTTTCAAAACTTAAATCGGATTATTTTTAAGAACATACTGTTCGAATTAGAAACATATGGTTTTATAAAGAAAAAAAGTCTGTCTGCGTTATAGAGTTTGAAAAAAACTGACTTCAAAACAATTGTTACACATAAGTGGTACAAATTGACAACTAAATAAAAAGTCTGGCCCTAAACCTTAAACATTTCATTTTTTTTTAGGTTTTTACTTTTTTAAGTGCCAGACATTTCGTTTAATTGTCAATTCACTCAAATGTACCAAATTTTTTGATGTCGGTTTTTTTAAAAATAATTTTATTTTAGGCTTTGAGTGGTAAGGATAATAGTTAAACGTTGAGAAATATATTATGGTTATGTTATATATTGATAAATATCATGATATTAATATTATTAATATTATATTATATTATTTATTTATGTATTGAAGAAAATAAATATAATAGTCTAATTCCTACTATTGTATTGGTTTACATAGATTCATACTATTCGCATTTTTTAAAAAGTATAAACATTGTTTAGCAATAAAGCTAATAACGGTACTACCATTAGAACTTGAACTACATGTTAAAAAAAGTTTTATCAATAATTTTACTTCCGTTAAATAGAAATCGATTCCATCGCTCAACGTCGAATAGAGAACCTTCTATACTTTTTTTGAAGTCGGTTAATACTAATATTATTATAAAAATTGCACGTGGGCCATGAAAAATGTATAATTTTTAAAACCGGACACACTCGGGTTAAACGCGTCCACTTTCACCGATTATTTAAATGATTTTCGATCAATTTTGTTTTTGACATTTTTATATCTTTGCTTTGGCACATAAACGGAAAAATCGATACCATTTAAAATCAACACCGACACCGACACCAAAAATCAGCTGATTTATCTGATAAGATAAGAAAGATAAGAGATATGGTTTTTACTTTAGAACACAACCGGAAAAATCGACACCGACACCAACACCGACATCGAAAATATATCCTTTTATATATTATCCTTATATGTCCTTCTTGTGAGGGTGGCAATGGGGATGGAAATGGGAATGGGGGTGGGGCATATATGTTGTATTCACAACGTTCAAAATAGAAATGAATAATAAATTCATTAATTTAAGGGGCCAAAATATTCTCTATGAATTGTTTTAGGCCAGATATTATGAAAACACTAAAATATTAGCGAGAAACTTGATATGTTTACTAGCCACCTTAAATACACAAAAATGTATCCCGTGGTGTTGCGGACTCGTACGCAAGCTGTTTAAACTTTTGCACAGAGCTTAAATATAATATAACCAACACGTGACAACAAAAATGCAAAATAATTGTAAAAAAAAAATAAACAAATTTACAAACGTTCCACAAGAGCGTAGAATAGGTAGAAAAAAACATTAATCATTATTAATCAAGTACTGTCGGTAATTTTCAAAAACTGTGAATTTACGTACTGTAGTGAATTAACTTTCCCGTGTGGTTTCCGGGCAAGAATAGGACCACGGAATGTTCCTCCTGTCGTAAGAGGCGACAAAAAGAACCTGATGCAGGGTAGCAGCTGCATCAGTATCAAGCTAAGGCGGAAAATGAATGACATTGGAACGGCTTAGTCTTGAAGAAATGCAAGCAGAGCTGAGTACAGCGGTATGGTTGCATCACTGCGATGTGGAAGGAGACGGAAGACCCACCACATTATTAATTATTCCTAGTAAAAATCATCATGGATGCACAATCTGAGGCAATGGTTTGATTACAGCAACAACCAAGTATTCAAAGCGGCCCAAGAGACAATCCAGATTAATATGATGATTTCCAACCTCCGTTAGGAGAGGAATTCCAAGAAGAAAAAGTGAATTAATAACGCTTGTCGCTCATTGTTACCGATATAATTCCACTTGCTTTTGTGTCAGTTGAGATATAGGTACATAAGTTCTAGACCATTACGAATAAATATTTAAAATTGTATTTCACACATCCAGTTGGAAGTACATGTTTTTTCATGGATTTCAAAACAACTACCGTCAAATGTCGGAATAAGACAACTTTTATACCGGCCGTTTGAATAGTATTTTGGCTTCGACGTTTTAAGAATATGTTTACCAAATAACGCTTTGGATTGTTTACACTATTATAAGTGGTAAAATAATTTAGAACAGTTATAATATCATTATTGTATTTGACAAAGTCTAATAAACGCTCATTGTAAAAAACTAAAGAAAATACGCATCGAAGTCAATAACAATTGTTAAACTACTTTAGTGTGTTATTTTTTTTTTTTAGCTTTTAGTTAACCATTATTTTAGCTTAAAAGTTAATATTATTACATTAAAATATAACGTCTTAAAAGCCAATTCAAAAAAATATAAGAACAGTTTTCAACTTAGCACTATATTTCGATAATGAAGTATAGTTTCTTTACATTTTCAATAATTATAGTTTGTTAAATATTAATTGTGTTGGCTGCGTGGGATGTATGTCCTGTGAGGCAATGTTTGTTATAACGGAATGACTACACGTTGTATTGTTATTTATTGCGTATTTAAAAATTGTAAACATTTACCTGTAATAAAATATATTAAGAGGTAGGGGTGGAAACTATCCATCAAATCGTAAGACATACGATCAGTACCGAGTACAGCATTGTAGTATCTGTGAATTATTCTATCGATATTTCTCAACAAGTAAAACCTGTTTTTACATTTTGCCCTTCTTAATATTATTATTCCGTTTTTTTTTTTACTCTGTTCAATGAGAATTCTAGAAGTTCTTTGTCTTTAAATGCTTCTAGTTAAAATGATTTGTTCATATAAATTCGGCGAATAAATAAGAAATATATACGATTTAAACTTTTTTAATGGAAATGGAAATCAATTGCAAATACACATTATCATATGATTAGACATCATGTTTAGAAAATTGTTACATTTTCGACAGTGATTGTTTATGGTTATCACAGACTTTACAGCAAAATTTTAAATTTGTATCACTTTTGCAGTTCTAGACGGTTCAAATCATGTTTTTGGTCTATTATCAGCTTCATACAGCTTCCATGGTAAATTATAAATCTAGTTTTAAGAGATTTAATTAATTTTTTTATTTCTTCGATTGAGTTACAACAAAAAACAACAATTTAAAAGTTCAGAGATCATTAAAATGCAGTGGTACTATTGCGTGGGAACTCGCCGCTGGGGTAGGTTTCGATGATTTTCATCCCGAGACTTAACGAGGTTATAATGACGGTGTTGTTTCGATAACAGTAATAATAGCTGAAACCTCATACACATATACACATGTGTTATAGTACTGTGTAATAATAATAAAACATCGCCGCTACCTTTTTTCTGGGGTTGGTTTTTTTGTTTCGATAGATCCCACGACGCCGAAACTGCGGGGCCACCATTTGCTGTATTTCACGTTCTCTGAGAAAACAAGTCAGCACCAGATTACCAAGGCGGTTCTGTGGGTATACAAAAAGCGCACAACCACCGAACTGCATCAAACCGACCAGGTGATCAATCTCGAAGTGAACAGGATCCATCCAGTCACTATGCACCCGTTGTACATGACCACCATAAAGGTAAAATAATAAAATATAAACAAACAAAACATCGGTGACAGAACGTTTTCAAAACATATTATGAAGCATGAGAAATCTCGTGCGTAACGACATTTCGAGGTTGTCTTAGTTTCGTTTGTTTTATGTGTCTTCAGCGTGTGATAAATACTACCGAACCGACCTGGGTGTCCATTAACCTACAGAGACACATGGCAGACTGGTTCGATACCACGAATACGGCAAAGAACCTCACGCTCATGGTGCATGCGTCCTATGTTCACGCAAACATGACGCACGCCAAAACGCCGTTCGTTACAGATGCTCGAAAAAGAGCCGACATGATGGAGGTACGTAATGATTTATTATTTAAACGTTGAATAACTCTAATCGAGAACAAATTAATGACGTTACTGTGGTGGTTAAAGTGGAAATTGATAAATAAAAAATAGAAACACAAAAGGACGTATATTAGGAGAAGGAGATGGACCTTAAGAAATGAGTATACTATAATATTATGTTATTGCTGTTATGAACATTGAACAGTCCGAAAATAAGTAGGGCCAACTCAACTATCTTAACCCTAATTATATCGTTATCGGACACGGTATGACGTTACGGATGATCATGCCGATTAGTTGTGATACAACGCAGTGGTGCGCAACCTGGGGATTACGAAATTTTAATAGGAGGTCGCCAATTTATATACATAATTGATATATGTAATACGAATATGTATGTATACTTATAAAATGTTGGTAGGGGTCTCCTCATCGAAATAAATCAATTTGGAGGTCGTGCATCAAAAAAGGTTGCGCACCACTGATCTAACGCATAAGAAAATTCTTGACGAATCATTATTTGATACACGTTCCACTCGTGTTTCGATTATCTTGCGTGGCGCGTGTAACCCTTGACAACGTTCAGATATAAGTTATAACATTATTGTCTACACAGATCCTGTTACGGCGAGACAACACCTACATGCTACATAAAAAAAAATGATAGAAAAAATGATTAGCTAAATTTCTTAATTTTTACCTACTTATTCTATCTATGTACTCGTTATTTTAACCATTATGGTATAATGATCTCAGCTGTTTGTTATAAATAGTGAAAGACAATGTACATAGTAGAGGTACATATGGGCCTAATAGTTGAATCATTTCTTTTGGGCCCAGGAGTATTTTAAGGGGTATAACAAACGGCAACAACGGGTTTTATTTGAAAATTATTTTTATTATTTTTATTGTAATTAAGTTCGGCCTGACTAGGACTATTGCACTACTGAAACAGACAGGGTCCAAAGCGAGGTCGGTCTGAGTCAAACTGGACCGGTCCGCTAATGTATAACAAGAATGTATTACTGCATTAGGTAAATATTGACGTTACAAACTCCTCCCCTAGTTCCCTCGAGTTCCTTGAGTATTACACGGTACAAACGTTTAGGTTGTTTGGCAGCCGCGAGTGCCCCCATTCTCTCTAATCCAATTGGTCCGTACTCTTGCTAGATCCCGTACTTGGAGGTGCACACCGTGGACGACCGACGGTCCCGGGCCAAGCGGAACGCGGGTGCCGGCCTGTTTTGCAACGAGACGTCCGCGGAGACCCGATGCTGTCGGTACCCACTTACTGTCAACTTCGAAGATTTCGGCTGGCATTGGATCATCGCGCCTAAGACGTACGTGGCGAACTACTGTTCCGGTACGTGCGACCCCATGCTTTTTACGAAGTACCCGCATACGCATCTGGTGCAAATGACGAAGTTCGGCGTCGGGCCATGCTGTGCGCCCAGAAAAATGTCCGCCATATCGATGGTGTACTTCGACGTTGACTTGAATATTGTGTACGGTATACTGCCCGGTATGGTAGTGGACAGGTGTGGCTGTAGCTAATCGTGCACGTTCGGTCATATATTGTAAATCATTCATACGCTAAACAGCACTCGCTCACGCATACACAAATATATACAATTATGAATTATTATACATTTACAAAATCGCGTCGATAACAGTAATGTACTTAACTAAAACAAAAAAAAAACGTGTCGCACTCAAACACGACGTATACACACTATTATAATATATATATAGTTTTTCTGTAAATGTACTGATAGCAAACTCATTAAATCTATATATATATATATATATATATCATAATTTATGTTTATATACAATAGTATTGTCGTGTTCTAAAGATTACACATATTTATTCATTATGTATTATTTATTTGCACCACGTCTCATTGTAAATAAATTCTTTTTTTACGTTTTTGTTTTTACTACCTATTTATTTATTATTTTTTTTTAATTTGAATAGTCCACTATTTAGACGACGCGTTAAAATTAAAACTTGTATTACCAACACTAGATGTTAACAATATGTTATAAACATAATATTATATTGTACAAGTGAAAAAATGTCGATAACATAGGAATGAGTAAATCAAATGAGGAAACACTTGTTACCATGGTGCGTATTGTTATAATACTTTTTTACCTCAACTTGCGTTCAATGCTTACTGTCTTTGATTTTTAATTATTTAAACTATTTAATAACACCTACTAATATTTCGAAGCCAATGCCATATCCATAATTTACACACTTAATATAAACTTAAATATAAATGTTTTGTAATAATATTAATAATGTAAAACTTGCACACAATAAGTATGACGTTTTTAAATGGAATTGATTTTAAAAACCGTTTGTCTAACTAGTATGCAATGATTTGTTAGAAAGAAAGTTTTAAGTCTTAAAATACAAGTCTTGTATTTGCTTAAGTTATACCTAATACTATTAATACAACATTTTGCTAACTTTTATATGAACGCCAATTATTAATACATTTTAGGTAATACTATGTTAAAAACTAGTATAGAATATAAGTTAATATATTGTATAATTGTATAATATAATCACACATTTAGACAAATAGTAAAATTGTATAAAACATTTATCGTCTAATCAACCACAAATTGCTAACTACTTTTTTTATTAACTATTATTATCAGTGACTTCTATCTTAACTTTTTAAAGTATCTAAATATTAGTGTTTTTCCCAGCTCCTTTGTGTTTTTTACATATATTTTATCCAAATAGTTAAGTAGATACTTTTTTGGGTTCCTAGAAAATTACCGATAACAATTATTACCCATAGTAAGATTCATAATAACCAAATTAATATTTTGAAAAACATATTTTTTTTTTGCAAAATTTGTGTAGTACATTTAGAAATTATATATTTTCTTGGTACTATTTACTATTTTTAAGCATAAAGAACCAAACATCATGTTTCCAAAGTTAAGTATTAATATTTAAGAATAGGAGCCACTGATTTTATAATCGCAATAAAAACCAAAGAAAAAGTTTATTTAATTGACTTTGTTTATCGCTAAAGCCGCCACAGCAATTAACTGTACGCTATTATAATGCATAGTTATAATTGATATTAATCAATGCCGTATTAAACTGTTAGTTTTGTATTTTATATTGATTGCACACCGACTGATTAATATTTAGTGCAAAACGCGTCGAAGCGTTTATGATTTTAATTTATATGCAATGTGACATTATTTATAAAGTATAATATTTAATAAATTATTATTCTAATATTAATCCAAATATTTATACAATAATTATAACATCTGTGTAAGAAATAAAATAATTATTTTTTATTTTTTTTTTTTTGTTATGGTTTGTATTTTTTTCGAAATCACATAATAATATTATCTAACCCGCGCGTTAACACACAATACATACATGCACAATAATAATATGTTGCGTTTATGTTCTGTTCACGTACCAGTTTAAAACGATAACGTTACTTATACTATAACCTTTCTACTACTATAACCTATAGTAATAGAGTAAAATAATAATTTTTGTGGAACTTTACACAGTGGTACTGGATCGACTTGACAATACTCGACCAAAATTTGTAACCGAATAAAACCAATACACCTAAACCCAAAACGAAATTTATTGTTTGTGTAAACCGTGTGTTTTGCGTAGATCCCGTACCTGGTGGTGTTAATGGAGGACGGCCGGCGGACACGCGCCAAGCGCAACGTGCTCGGGTTGAACTGCCACGAAAACTCGCAAGAGCCGCTGTGTTGCCGGTATCCACTTACCGTGGACTTTGAAGATTTTGGTTGGGACTGGATCATAGCACCCAAGAAATACGAGGCCAACTATTGTTCGGGCGAGTGTCCCATGGTGTTCCTGCAAAAGTATCCTCACACCCATCTGGCGCAGCTTACCAACAAGACAGGAATGTATCCGGGCACGGGGCCGTGTTGCGCGCCCCGCAAAATGTCCGCCATCTCCATGCTGTACTTCGACCACGACTTCAACATCATTTATGGCCTGCTGCCTGGAATGGTGGTGGATCGGTGTGGGTGCAGTTAATTATTTTAGTACCTAACGCCGCTGACGTTTAATATCATTTTGTATGTTTTGTTTTTATTACATTTTTTTTTAATGAAGGGAGGATTTATAATATAATATTTTATTTACACCGACAGAAATAAAAAAGTTGTTAAGTATGCACACCAATATCAAATAATTACACTTAAAAAAAAATGCGCTCTTACGGTGTGTTAAATAACTGCAATTACCCGAGTTAACAATATAAAAACATGCACGAAATATGAAAATACGTTTAAAATTTTATAAATTATAAAAGCTCTTTAAGAATAAACACCTGCTCCGATTTTTTTAAGTACAAAAAGAAGAAAAAAATATATAACTATTCATTATAACAACACTCTTTGTTCAAACCGGGTTTTATTTTATTTTTGCTTTGAGTGGTATTATGAATATAACAAATTGCCTGCTTAAGCGGATAATTGATTATAGACGAATTATTATAGAACATAATTAATAATCGTTTCAAGAATTAAAAGAGCTTAGAAAGCGTTTTGTAAATACATATTTTTATGTCCCGCAAAAACATCCGACCGTTTTGCTTTTAGATAATAAGTATTGATAATATTTGTAAAGTCTTATAACGTGTATATAATTTATAAAGTGTAATAAGTTATTTCTATCTAATATTACCTCCCACAGTTCTTTAACCTTCAGGTTTCCCACCTATCTATTTTGTTATGCATCAAGTATTTACTTCACTATGTTATTACCTAGCTTTATATTTTTAAACTAAACTATAGTTTGTACTTTCTTATAAATCCTATACAAATTCATTGTACATATAATATAATAAACTAGAATTAAGGTACTTTAATGTTGCAAAATTTGATATTTATTTTTACATTTTTATTATTTACACTATAATGTTTTAATAAGAATTATTAATTGTATTATTAAATACCTAAGTAAGTATTTGCTTATTTTGTAATGGATACACTTTATTTTAATACACAAGTGTGCTTTTAACAATCAATTAGGCAAAACAAATACATTTTTCATGTGAATTATTCTTTAAATATATCACATTGGATATTAATCGAAAAATAAAAACAAAATGTTTCAAAATTACAACTTTTATAGTTTTTTACAATTCTTCTTTATGGGTAATTTTACAAATGTATTGTGCTAAAATTTAAAAAACTTTACAATTACAACATAGGTAATATTATAATATAACTTGTTATTATTATTATTTATCAGTATAATGATACATAAAATTTGTATACATTTTATTTATTCTTATAATGTATTGATTACAAAAAGTTTGTAAAAAATTATTTTTTTATGAATTCCGTGTAACTTTTGTCTTTAGAATTATAAATAATGGAATCGAAAGTCTTGACTTTTTCAATGTGTTTTAAATTGTTTTCAATGATAAAATTCCGGTAAAAATGTACATATTACTCTCTAATTATTCGAAGAAAATCTTTAATATAAAATATTTTTTTTACATTGGATAATCATTTTACAAAGAATAAAAGTGTATAATTAAAAAAATTATACTTTATTTAAAAAAAAAAGTTACTTTTGTTAGAGAGTAAAAGTCTATTTCCACGTATCCGTGATTTAACGGAAGCTCCTATTTACACATGTACGTGACAAGTTCAGGGAACGTCTGGTGATAAATTTTTATTATTATCAACATTGGTTTTATAATTGAGTATAGAACAATTTTGAAATTATCTAATAATTTGCAATTGATGTTAGTGCACTACGTTATTTTCTTTTTATTCACCGATAACATTTTATGATAAACATTAAAAATCGAACTGGTACTGCACTACTACACGATGAAGAAGAAAACCAACTACCTAAAACCGCATTAGAAATGACAGTAGCTAGAAACGAAAACGTTACTAGGTACATGAAGCTTGGAAAACGCGAACACCTGAAGAGGAGTTTAATACTTTATAGCAAGAACTCCTAAACCCGTTCGGAAACTCGGTGAGAGAATTGTCTAGAACAATATTTTTTCGACCCGGATTCGACACTGGACGCCCGGTCCGTGCATAGTCCGGACTAGTATGAATGGTCACATTTAAAATGAATACAATAACAATTTTTTCTTATCATTTTTGATTATTTATTTTTTGTGTCTGCACATACGATGTAATTCTAAGACGAATTAGTTCCAAATTTGTATGAAATATTCATATCTATGTACGCTGACAGACTAAAAAACTATCAAAAACCCTTTCCTCTAAAAAGGGTTGAAACTTTTTCTCTTTATTTCGCTTTTTTAAGTGTAATTTTAGAATCGAAAATTTATATTCAATATGTTGAAAACAAAAAACACCGGAAACGGTCAATTTTTATACAATTTGGTTAAAATGCTTAGGCGCAACTAGGCCTACATTTTAGGGGATGCTAAAATTATGTGTACCTGACTAAACATAAATCTTATCTTCAAACCATTTGATATAAAATAAAACATTTCAAAACAAAAATATTCTAAAATTTAAACAGAGTAATTACTATGTAGTATGTACATTATTAAAATTGTATGCGTACAATTCAAGGATTGGGGTTTCAATTGGGGTGCTATTTTTGAGTCTGGAAGTGCTTAAGTCCTCCTAGCCCCCCCCTAGTTGCGTCTATGTTAAAATGGTTCATCATTTAATGAATGAAAAAAGTTAGCTAGGTAGGTTAAAATACCATAATATTTATGTAATTATACAAATATAATAGAAACAGTTTACTTAATCAATTTGTAAGTTGTACATGAAATATAAATAATTTAATGCTATATTAATGTCTAATGTTTGTACACATTTTTTTAGTGTAAGCACTTAACAGATTATGGTGATAAAAAAAATTATAACTAAATTGTTCGAATTTTTATTTAATAGTATAAACACAAGTTGTTAAAACAGGGGTTTGCTATGCAACCAAACGTACATGTGTGTATTTTTGACAACAGAAATATTTTAGGTGCTTAAGTGCAATTTTTCGATAAATCTTAAATAACAGTTTGAACTATAATGTATACTTATTAATACAGTAATGAGGATATTTTGTGAATTGACATTTTTTTTTGTTAGATTATCACAATCATTTCTATAGGATAAATTACAATTGTAGTGTCCTCTTAAGATTTATCCACTAAAAATGGTTTTGCGGGGGACAAAAATGTAAGGGCGGTATTTTGAGTAGCCGTATACAGTTTTTACAATGGATAGAAAAGAACTTTATCTACGGGGTAGCGTTTTTAGTTTTTTGATAACTTAAGCACAATCAAAATTATTCATTCGTAAATATTCATTATTTTTTCCTTTTTTTATTTGTTTATAAAAAAATATTAAGTATAGATGCCAACAAATTTAAAACGCTACCCCATGGATAAAGTTCTTCCCTATACATTGTGAACATTTTGTAAATTTACTGTTAATACTGGCCTTACATACTTGTCCCGCGCAAAG